CCTCTCCGTTTTAAAGTCCTGGGATGTGGGAGCCGTGTCGAAGGTGAGAGTGAGGCCGCCCGAGCCCAGGTGAGCGGGGCAGGGGAGGGGAGGGGAGCGGAGGGGGTGTGTGGGGGGGTTCGCTCTGAGTTTCCCAGGATGCAACGGGGCAGGGCCCTTCCTGGCCCATCTCCTCACCTGGCCGGGGCCGCCCCCTTCACAGGGGACGCCTGAGGACCGCAATCCGGGTTCTTCTACGGGGGGTGGCTGGGTTTAAAGGCAGTGGCTGCTTTTCCTGCCCTTCCTTGTTCCCTGCAAAAATAAATGAATAAATAATTAAAATAGGTGGGGGGCAAAATGGGACCCTTGAAAGCCCTCCCCCCCTCATCTTCCACCGGGCCTTCCCTTTTTTTAAAATTTAAATTCATATTTTTTTTAATTCCAAGTTATATTTATGGAAGGGATGGGTGAGGTCTTCACCAGGCGGCTTAATAGTTAATAATTTAAATAGTTTAATGTAAATGGTTAATTTAATTGAATATTTAAAAATATAAACTGTTAGTAACCCCTCCCCCCCTGCACACACACACCTTTTTTCCTCAAGAGGGCCCCAGGGGGCATAAAACAGTAGAAACATTTATTTAATTTAAACTAATGAATTCATGGCACGTTGATTGTGTTGTTTTTAGGGCGTGTTGTTCCTCCAGAATCACCCCGAGCGACGGGGCGGTAGAGAAACCAAGCCAATAAATAAAACGCCCAGTATGGAAACTGGAAAGTGATATGGGGATGCGATAGTAGCCCAGTTTGTGGGTGGCCAGTTCCTGGGGGGGGTTGGGGGGGGGGATCCTCATGGGTTTGAACTGAGGGGGTTTCCTGATTCTGGTGCATTTGCATCTGTTTTGCTTTGAAGGCTCTCCTTTTGACCCTTGCAGCTTTAGAAGAAGGAGCCCTGGGTGAAGGAGGTCCATGGCTGCCTGTGTTCAGATACAACGGTCTTTATGGATTCCCAGTGTTGGGGGGGGGGAATGGGTGGAGTGACAGGCTAGGAATCTGGAGGACAGGGTTCGAATCCCCACTCCGCCATGGAAACTGGCTGGGGCAGTGGAACTAGTAAAACCACTCCTTGAATATCTCACTTAACATGAAAACACTGTTAGGGTCGTTTTGACTTGACAGCTGATCACCCAAACACACACCCAAGGTGTCACAACATTTTTGTCTTTTTTATTTTTCTTCTGATTTTGCCTGATACCCTTTTGGTAAGATACATCATGATCACCCAAACACACACCCAAGGTGTCATAACATTTTTGTCTTTTTTTTTTTCTTCTGATTTTGCCTGATACCCGTTTGGTAAGATAGTAACTTAGTATGCCCACTATATGGGATCCAAATTTTTGTTTCTTCCTAGCCTCACGTTTACTGTAGCTGTTCTTACTGTTTTTAATTATTATTATTTGTCTGAAAACAATTCATTTGCACTTTTTTCCACTGTGTTTTTGATTTATCCTGTTTCTTTCCTCCTTGGAAATTTCATGCAGGCAAAACAATGGATCTCGTTTTGAAATACGCAGATGCTGGAATTCTGACGCCATATGTTTATCCCACAAGATGGGCAGAAGATGACCCTTTTCGACAGCTTCTCAGCCTCTTCGTCATCACAAACCTGGGGGCCCTTGTCATTTATTTGCTGTTTGGGAGTTTCAGCTACTATTTCATATTTGATCACTCTCTAAAAAAGCACCCCCAGTTTCTGGAGGTGAGTAAAGCAGCTCATTAGGACTCATTCCTCTTCTGATTTCTCACACCAGGAGTTTGCTAGAGCTCCTGTATGTTTTCTGAGATAGAACAGAAATACCGTGAAGAAGAAAAGCATTTGCTCTCATCTGGTGTTTATATTAAATATAACACTTATTATTAAGTTTTTAGTTGTGTGTGGCCTGTTGCCAGGATATGGAGAATTCATTTGCATTTCCCTCTAGAATTTCTGCCTTTGGACAGATTTATACTGGGTTTGGTTCTTCTGTTGATGGTCTGAGTGGATTTAACTGCAGGTGACAACAAATTATGTAACATTTAGAAGAGCATTGTGGCCCGTGGTCAAACTGCAGTACTGCAGTCAAGCCTCTGGTCATGACCTAAGTTCGATCTTGGGCTCAGGTAGCCAACTGGAGGTTAACTCAGCCTTCCATCCTTCCAAGGTTTGTAAACTGAGTACCCAACATGTTGGGGAAGGAGCAGTGTGTAGCTCGCATAATTAAACTGTAAACCTCGTACAGAGTGCTTTAAGCACTATGGGTTGGATTTTAAACAGCACACTTTGCTTTGCTTTTGATTTTTATTAGAATATGAACAGGCAAAACAGCCCACATACTGAGTCAGACCGTTGGCCTGTCTGAGCCAAATGACTGGACTTGAAACTTGAAGCATGTAAGCATAAATTTTACTTCTGAACTACAGATGAAACCAAAGATACCCAGGATTGAATTTCGGCCCCTTTACAACTAGCATGAACTTTAGCTCAGGCCTCCTAAGCTTCATCTGTCCTTGAGAAGCCCTGCTTATCAGTGCTTCAGGATGAGAAATGTAGTTCATTTTCTCTTGCTGCCTTGCAAAAGATAAGACTGATAAGTTTTTGAAATAAACACACATTGAAGATAGTTTTGTGAACTGGCTGGAATTGAACTGTCACCCTTGCCATGAACTCATGGAGTAATTTGTTACATAAGCTCTCTCTCAGCCATGACTTGTCAATTGCAATGTGAAGGAAGCTATAGGGCTGTTGAAAGAACTAGTGAGATAATGTGTTTTGCATATACCTGTACTCTTTTAGTATGTAAATAAGTAGGGGGGTTGTTTAAACAGAGTGCCTGTCTTTGTGTTCAGAATCAGGTGCAGCGTGAAATAACACACACTCTCAAATCCTTGCCGTGGATCAGCATCCCCACTGTTGCCATCTTCTTTGCTGAAGTTAGAGGCTACAGCAAGCTCTATGATAACATTGAAGACTCTCCTTATGGTAAGAAAGCTACAGAATATGTCCACTGTATGGGATTTAATCTGTAGTGTTTGCCTTTATCTCAACAGTTGTGTCTCCTTTTTTCAGTGTAGCTTTCATTTATTGTACCAGGTCGATCCTCTGTTTCTTCTATCTCTTAAGGCCTAACTACATGGGATATGTATATTAAAACTTTAGCACCGTGGTGTTCTCCCCCTCCACCAGTTTTGGAGAAGAAGACTGGGTTGAATGTGCAAAAGTGATGAAGGAAGAGCCAACTGTGCTTCGTTCTTCCACCTCACACATTTTTCTTAAAACTCCAGATTTCTTGTCTCCAAACCACAGGGAATCCAAGGGTTTTCCCTCAGTTGACAAAGCAAGAAAAAAATAAAATAGTGGTCAATTCATTTATCGATGCCACCTGAATGATGTACATTACCCATTTTTAAAAATATATAACGGTCTAGTCCCACTGTCCTTAGGAGAGTCTTTTGAGGACATAGCAGAGCTTCCCCTCTGTGCATGTACGAAAAAGGTGCATGGACAGACAAGAATGGCTACTCTTAAGCCTCTTCTTTGTGGCAGTGAGAATGTGTAACACCTTTGCTTGGTGGCCATCAGAATTCTCGTGAAAAGGGCAAAGAGGAGGCATTTCACGAGAAAATCAGGGGAGGGATGAGATATATAGATCAAAAACATTCCCATTCCTCAATGTGCCCCAGACTGGAGGAAGGTACGGCAGCCGTACAGCTGACACACCTTATTTATTTCTCCCCCATTAGGAACAGTGGGGTGAAAACATGCAAGATTAGCAAATAGATGCAAAAGGTTAAAAAAAAGGGACTAAAACCACATCACCTGCCTTCTTTGAGTGTAGAAGCCTTTGAAGTATAAGTAGGACTAAGAGCTTCTCCTCCCACCAGCTTACTTTTCAATTAGTCATGTGTACCTATTCATTATTGCCGAAAGCTCACCGAGGTTGCTTTTTTAAAATGAATGTTCAGAAATTGTTCAGGTGGCTGAAAAACATGCTTATTCTTATTGCTAATAATGTTTTGAACAGTCTTATTTGCTTTCCCTCTGCCCTGTCTAGGTTGGTTTGGTGTTTTCTTCAGCATGATATCTTTTCTCTTTTTCACTGATATGTGTATTTACTGGATTCATCGATTTCTCCATCATAAACTTTTATACAAGGTATGTATTAGCTTGTAAAAGAGGGTGAGAAAGCTTGCCGGCTGGTTAACGGGTTGAAATCCTGGTTATGCAAATAGCGTAACTTTTATTTATTTATTTCCTGTAAGTTAAGAAATCTTTGTAGGCGGCATCTTTGCATGTCAAATCACACAACTCAGTGTGATAATATTTATGGAAATGTTTTAACTTGGCTGCAAAGTAATGTTGTTTGCATAAAGACACAACAGAGATTCTGTTAATACATTGTAATCAGAAGAGTAAAAAGTTTTTTTAAAGTGTGTGCTGCATACTTTGGAGTGGTACGTTTATGGCTACGAGCTCTGAGGGCTTTCTGCATTTTCTTCTTGCTAGCTGGCAAGTCAGATTATGCCTACAAGCATCATAGGTGCAATGAGTGGTACAGCAAAGGGAGACCCCTGTTGTGTTGTATTTGTCCAACTGCTCAAGGGGTGCATCTTCAGCTCTGCTAGAATTTGAATCTGGTACTGCAGAAGAGGAATGACTAGACAAGAAAAAAAACATTAAAGAAATCAGGGCAGTGGGAGTGGTGGGACACCTCCATAAATAAAAGTTGAAAAAGCAGTGCATTTTAGTGAGGACTAAAGCTTGGAGGTAAACAATAGATATATTTGCATGATGATAAAGTGGTATGGAATCAAGCCCTGCAAAATCATTTTATCATTTACCCTGTAATTAATACAATAACTTCACTCTTTCTGCCACTTCAAATACGATAGTTGCCTCCCCACTCCAGAAGGAAAAAACCCAATACATTAGTCTTTTCCCACCGTCTTTCTGGGTTTCATTGAGTGCCAGTAGTAGAAAATTGACTCCTGGAGTTTGTCTACTCCTGCTCTAGCAGTTCACCTTGGAAGGTTTTTTTCCTTAGTATAGATGATCAGACGGGTCAGCATTTCTGTGGCTCAATTCCTGCTGATTAGTGTCGTAAATTGCTCTAGAGTGGACTCACTGAATATTTAAAGAGTCAACTCCTCTAAGTTCTATTGATTCAAAAGAACCTATTCTAGGTGTGACTTACTATGCTAAAGAAAGTTGCAATTAGAGAGGCCCATTTCATTCAATGGAACTCACTCCCCTTTGATGAATTGGCCCTACTTTCATGCAAATTACTATGCTAAGCAATTGGATTCTATTGATTCAAATGAACCTACTCTAGGTGTGACTTACTGTGCTAAAGAAAGTTGCAATTAGAGAGGCCCATTTCATTCAATGGAACTCACTCCCCTTTGATGAATTGGCCCTACTTTCATGCAAATTACTATGCTAAGCAATTGGATTTGGGCCTATGCCTGCTGGAGGCCCAGGGAAAAAAAACGCATTAGTGTAGCATGATTTTGTTACGTTTCTTGCTTCAGAATAAGGTTTTATTTCCTGTCATTTCTTCCACAGCATTTCCACAAGCCTCATCATTTATGGAAGGTTCCAACTCCTTTCGCCAGCCATGCTTTCCATCCCGTGGATGGATTTCTTCAGAGCACCCCTTACCACATCTACCCTTTCTTTTTTCCACTGCACAAGGTGACCTATTTGGGTCTCTACGTGTTTGTCAATATCTGGACCATCTCCATCCACGACGGGGACTACCGCGTTCCTAATGTAATGAAGGATATTATCAATGGGGCTGCTCATCATACCGATCACCATTTATACTTCGATTACAATTACGGACAATATTTCACACTCTGGGATAGGATTGGAGGCTCTTACAAAAACCCTTCCTCTTTTGAAGGGAAGGGGCCCCATGATTGTTTGAAAAAGCTGAAAGAAAACAAATTGAGCAGTTTGAGTAACGGCCACAAGAAGGAAAAAGTGCAAGAAGGAGACAGTTTTAAAAATAAATAGACCCCTCTTTCTGTCATAGGATGGACTGCCATGTATGCCTTGAGAACTGAATCTAAACAGAACTCCCCTATCCTGTAACATCGCTTGGTAGTGGAACGGTGAAGTTCTGTCATGAGGATCATGCATAGAAAAGCAGAAGGAAGGAAGATCCAGTTGCAGAACAATACCTTTGATGTTAAGTAATGGCAAGGTTGTCTGTGGTTTTTGATTTCCATGCTGGCATGTTAATTTGGAGCTGAAACTTGCTGTTGTGCAACCCATAAGAACTGCATCCTGATATTCCACTGTTGCCATTGAAACAAAGCCAGAAGCTGTCTGCTTCTGTGTGTGAAGTTAATGCTAGGAATCTGAATGACATCTGCAGTAGAGGCTACAAGACCCTGTTGTGCAGTGAACAGGCTATAATGGCTTCGGTAGCTGCATTTACTAAGATGTAAAGGGAGGCTTAGCTTGGAGATGGGAGAAGGTAGTAGCTTTCTTGCAGAATACACCCGAAACATGCCGCAGAAATTGTCTACTAGATGGTGTACCTGTTTTCTTACTCTCTTGAGATGTAAGATGCAAGGAATATTTTAATATGAAGTATCATATGAATGAAATGAAGTTGAAATGTGCTGGGTTTTTTCCCTCTCAGTGGTCCAAATGCTTACAACACGATGGTTTGTCTGGCTTGTATGTCAGTGGCATTGTAGAATGGATGCTTGAATGATATCCTAATATCCATTGGCCAGAAGCATTACAGCAGAAGCGCTGTATACGAGGAGCTCTGAGGTATTTTTAGGGAGCCCCTGTCCTTTCAGAAGAAAAAAGGCTTATTTACTGTGGCCTGTATGTTGCAGAGTAAAGGGGATGATACTGCTAATTTTCCTTAAATTGCTCTTAAGTTGAGAGCAACAAGCAAGGAATTATTAGCCATTTCCAAGAACATGGAGTGCACTACACCATTGTTTGGGCAGGTAGGCAGCCCAGTATGTAGTGGTTTAGGCTCAGAATGTATAGGAGGACTGGATGGCTTGACCATCCCCTAAAGTCCACCCAGCCTTTACAGATGGCTAGTGGCTGCTTTTTTAATATAGCACTGCCCTGTTTACTGGGGTCAGTTTATTAGCACATTAATTTCAGCAGGGCTTGCATAGGAGAACCTGCCAGCCTATTTTGTTCAGCAGATTTTTCTAAGCTGTCTCCTTGGCTCTCTGCATTCTCTCCCATCACTTTGAAGTCTTAACACGGGAAAGCTGCTTTAAACAAGCAGATGTTCCCTGTACAGTGTTTTTATTGCTTTGATAAGGACAAATGCATTACCTAGAATCCTAGAGACAATGCAAAAAGGAGTTCTGTTTGATAATTATCTTCTAAAGCATTTTTTTCTCCTCTTATTCAACCCACTAGGCTGTAGAAGCTGTCTTTTGTTGAAAAATAATTTTAGGAGATGAAAGCATGACTGCTATTTTTGTTATGTAGGCTTACCAAATCACCTGCAGCCAATGAGAAGAGATTGTGCTTTTTGTGTGTATGAACCTGAGTGCTTTTTGAAAGGAGGAGTGAAGTTGAGCATGAGCTGGTTCCTTTAAAACCAGTCCTTGGTAAAGAAACAAACTATTCATACAATTTTGGTTTTGAGGTCAAGCCTCTCTGGTGTATAGAGCCCAAGGAAAGTGGCAAGGCAGAAAGTATCTCCTTTCTCACTTCCTACTGGAGATAGTTCTGAATATTAAGTGATTTATTTGTGATTAAGATTGTTCTGAATATTAAGTGATTTATTTTTGATGTTTGTACGGTTTTCGGGTACTTGTTTTGGCAACTGCTCCAAAGCACTGGTTAACTGTGCCAAGAAGATTTCTGTTCTCATTCCCCCACCCCCCAAAAAAATCTGTATGGGAAGTATTTAACGTCTGTAAAATACACTGTTTATTACTACAAGGTTGTTGTTGTTTTTCATCACAGCCTGGGCTTCCTGCATTGTCATGAAAATGTATGAGCAGAAAGATTGGATAGGCCTGCAAAATGCCTTCTTTATGTTCATTGCCAGTGTCCCCAGCATGGTTATATATCTCCTTCATTCATCCCTTTACCTTCTACCATCCAAGCCCTTATAAAAAAAAACTCAGCAAAAAAACCCTGAATTCAGGTTTTTAATGTTTCAAGCTAGCTCTTCCGCTCTTAATTATGGTTGTTGCTAGAATCATGAATGCTTTTCCTCTTTAAATGCTCCCGTGCTCGTCATCAACTGAAGCTAAACGTGTGCAATATGTAGCTAAGAGTAGGGATCCTTGAAATTGACTGCTGGAGAAGGGCTGCTGCTCATGCCTTTAGTAATTCTTTGAAAATCAGTTGTTGCTAACTATTGCCATAGGGATGTCAGACAGCCCTGATTGGAAACTAGCAGGACAAGAATCAAGAGGAAAATAATGAAGGAACTTCCCCATCCCACACCCAAGCCTCTGAGCAATTTGTGCAGTCATTTGCTTCTTGTGTTAAACTTGGAAACAGAAAGAAAAAACAAAATTGTGTGTTGCTCGTAAATGAAAAATGAAGGTAATTTTGTAATGCTTGTTGAATGACATTGTCAATCTACTTGTCAGTCATTTATACTAATGTTTTCTGGCTGACAGATAATAAAAGGTGACTTTTCCGATGAGTTGTCTCTGAAGAGATTTGAATGATGCTTCTGCTGGGTGCCGTTGCAATTAATTCAGTGCATGTGCTCATGGAAGAGGGACCCTTTAAGAAAACACAACATCCTTTAGGGAAAGGGGCAATGCAATACTAAATGTGTTGGATTAAATGGTTTCACATTCCCATTTTGCTGCCAAACTTGCTTGGTGATCTTGGGTCACTTGCGCCATCTCATTCTGATCTACCTCACAAGGTTGCTGGGAAGATAAAATGGAAAGAGGAGGAGAATCATGTCGACTGTTAAGCCCACTGGAGAAAGGAGTGGTATGTCAGTGTAACAAAATAGGCCAATTTGAAAGACTGCTGTAGCAAGATTTTGTGTTCCTCGAAAAACTTTTAATAATGTATGATGCCAGAGTGCATAGTATTTTACAAGCAAAAAAATATATCTTGATTTGCTTGTTAGATTCATAGTGAAAATTTGCACCACTTATTGATGTTCCAGTCCTATGCAGCTCACTACTGTGAGCCCCACAAAATGGTGTCCTTTCTCCCCGTAGATCATAGCCCTTAATTTTTTGCAGACTAGGCATGCGGGAAGCATACATGAGTCTTAATGAATTACTGCTGGGTGGTGTTTATTTTGGAAAATTGCACCTTGCACAAGAGTCCTGTAGGCAGCGGGAAATAAAGGTTTTTGTCTTGATCACTTGGAATTTGTAGATTGTCGGCCTGCTCTGTTATCTGCAGTGTGTGTGTGTGTGTGTGTGTTTATGGGCACAAGGAAACCCCTAACATAGCCATTGGGTTGTCACTCGGATTGGTGGGCCATTAAGCCTGAAATTGCCTTGGGAGTTGCATACATGAGATAAATGTATCTATTTAAACAAATCTAAATGTATTAACGAGGCCACTTCACCTCTCTGTTTCTGGATGTAGCTTTCAAAGCCTTATAAATACAGCCTAAAAGCTAACAAAAGATGAGAGGGGGAAGAAAACCAGATGATGCCTCCCCCCACCCCAAACTCTTGAGCAGAAGGACCTGCCACAGACCAGTCGCTGTCCGAAAATGTCTTGGCTGGCCTCCAAGGGATCGGCTGCAGGTGGGAACAAGCAGTGCCCTAGTTCCAGAGTCTGTCAAAGAGTACACAAACAGGTATTGCTTAATTAAGGAGAAGCTTCCATCGCCCATAGCAACGGTTCTGAAGTCCTTTCAAGGAGTATCAGAACTAGGGAGTGAAGGCAAAGCACAGCGTGGGGCTGTTCTTGGAGCATAAGAGGTTTAGAACAATAATTGTTCACAATTGCTTGCTTGTACAGAAGGCCAGATCCTAGGTAGGCTTACTCTGAAACCAGATGCAGGATTGCAGCTTTGCTACTGTAAAAACAATGGCTTGAGTCCAGAGGTGGCGTTGAATTTATGCTTGAACTATGCCTTGGAGATTTGTGGCCCTGTTGGAAGTAAACGGTTGTGCTTTGGACTTTATCACCTTCCTCTCTTATCAAAACGCGGCGTTTGCATTTAAAAGCAAGAATGCTTCGTTAGCATGGCATGTTTGATGCTAAATGTGCAAAACAGAAGACCCTTCTCAAACTTAAAACCATGATTGTTTGAAACAGGGTCAGCCTTCCTGGCTTCCGGGACTTGAAAAACTGAACCAAAGGATTCTGTTTGTAAATAAACGCACCCACCTTCATATGGTGAGTCTTTGGCCTTCC